GTGAAAAAAATAAAAATAAAAAATTAGCTCAGTGGGTAGAGCTGGCGACCCATGTACTGAGGCTGAGTCCCTGCTGTGGCAGCCCTGGGTTCATATCCAACCTCTGGCTCTTTACTGTGTGTCACCCATGAACATCTTTTAAGTTACAGGAAACACAGCGTAGCAGTAAAATTATTCATTCTTTTCCTTTTTCTAATAAGAATTGTAACCCAGTCCCAGAATTTCTGTTATTGACTGATTATTTTTGGTTTATGGGAAAACAATAACCAGCAAAAGGACATTGCTATCAATGGAGAGCAAAGTAACCTGTGTTCCTCCTCTGTGAATCCTGCAGAAACCTGTACCGGACCCCCCTTATATTCACCGCCACCACCGTGTGTGTACGTACAGTCGTACCCGCCACATGACCGCCCGCCTGCCAGGCTGCCAGCCCAATGTCTCTCCTCTCTACCACTATCCCATGGCTCTGCAGTGCCACTGTGCCGTCTGCTCCACACAGGACACAGAGTGTGAGACCTTCTGATGGGCAGGACTCTGCTTTCAGCAAACAATGTTATCAACAGTCTTACTGATATGAATGACTCTCAATAAAAGTATGATATTGAGACATTTGAGTAAGTGTGAGAGTTTCTGAGGGGGGGTGATGGCACTGCCTGCAATATTAGCAAGAAGTTCATATTTAATTAAAGAAAAAGCCTTGAAAGAAAGAGACAAAACCAAAAAATGTATGTCTGTAGACTGAAGACTGTGCATGTATACTTATATGTCTAAGAAAGGAGAAATAACAGATCAAGCATTGCATTTTAAAATAAGAGTTCTGTGCAACATGCAGATAAAAACATTTGCTGAAAATAATATATAAGGTTAGCTTTATATACACTCTGTATTTCAACTGTATCTGTGTACCAAGAGTTGAATACCAAGCAAAGCAAAGCAGGCAACTTCACTGAGGCCCTACACCCTCAGTTAGGGGTCTAAAAGCTGCATCCTTATTGTGTGTATAGTTTACTGATATGAGATAAAATGCAATTCCATTTAGGGATATTCACCAATAAATTATAATTTTAGTCAAATTAAATGACAAAGTCCTTCAACTGGGGCCTGTTAATACATTGAGGCTTAAAAAATTGTTTTACTATGATACCTAATCAATATCTTCATTATATAAGTTTATATTGCACTCACATGTAGTGGCGCCCCCAGAAATCTTTTATATGGGTGGGCACTGAAAATCCTGCAGTGTCATATCAAAACCAAAAGCTAGGAGACGAGTTGGAGTGTGACAGATGGTCAAAAGCAGCTTGCTGGCTACGTATTTAATATATTCTATCACATGAACTATTATTAAACATACATATTATTGATTTGAATTATTAGTACTTAAAGTAAAATATTAAATTAAAACATATTATGCATGCAGTACTCATTACTCAGAAGTAAGGGGGTGAGGGGGGCCAGTGGGGGTATCAGGTAGATGGTATCAGGGTGGCTGTGACCCTCTGTGGCCACACATTGGTGGCATCACTGCTCACATGGTGAATAATCCTATATAGATCTGTTTAAAATTAATTTTGTTTACTTGAAGCTGGCATAAGATGTACACATTGTACAGAGAGATAATGGTGGTGAGGTTATTGGGGACCCACTGTCACATGTGGGACAAAATGCAAGTCCCCACAACGTATATTATTAAAAGACTAAAGACTTGGTTTCAGTTAAAGGTGAGGGTAAGTTAGTCACCAGGGAATTGAACAGAGTCAACGCAATGTTGTCTTGAGTAATGGAAACAAGTTAGTGTGTGTGTAAAGTGAGAAGAAAATCAAATGTCCACATAAAGTACTTTACAGTTGCAGATTAGAAATTTATTGAAATACAATTTCATCACAAACTATACAGTGCATTCTTTCTTTTTTCATTTAATTGACATATCCAACATTCTTTGGTTTCATCAATAGATATTATTTACAAAATGTCCTTTAGTTCAAATCCATAAATATAAATAAATTTTGTACATTCTTTGGTCTCTTGTCTGTGTTTAGTGGTTATTGCAAGGAATGACCCTACTTGTATATATGACCTTTATATTGATTCCAATGGTTGACAATATATTGATTTTTATGTTTAATGCACGTCAATGAAGAGATTATGTAACTGTCTTAAATGTAATGTAATGTTCTCATTAATTTTTGCATATTTTCAAAATGTTAAAATCAGTGTTTTTGGGTTGTGAGTTTGACTAATTACAATCCTGAAGTCTCTGTTTACTTACACTTGCTACTGCATACTAAGTATGAAGGGTAGTGTGACTAAGTCTTTTATTTATAGCTGCTTAGAAAGTCAAGTGTCTGCCAAGCCTCAAAGCAAAAAAAAAATAATAAAAAGGTTCAGTTTGTTTGAAGTATGAGTGACAGAATGGTTTTATACAGGCTTTAACACAAATGTGTGTCAATCAAGTTTTCTAGAAAAACTTCCCTTACATCACATTTAACACAACCACACACACATACATACACACACACTCACACAAACAGCATATCTTTATAGACATAGGAAGTGTAAATTTCCATTTTCACTTTAAGGCACTGTTGTAGAGCAGGATTTACTCTGCCTGATCTGTCCACCCTGGTGATGATAACTTGGTAGAAGGCTGATTAGTTTTCAGTTAAATAACAACATTCAAAACAAGTCGACGTAGATAAAGGAGAAAGAGGATAGTTACTGTTATATCACTGAGAATCTTGTATTTTAATCATTTACCAAAGTTTGTACCGCTTAACTGACAAAACTGTAATTTGGTTCTTATTCTGGTGTACATTTGGTGGTACATTCAATGTGTCAGTAGCGGGACTTGCGACACATGTCGCAGCGACACGCCTTCGCCGTCAGAATCTCTATTTCGTCGTGGTGACGACCTCGGGGGCAGTCCAGGCGAACTTTGACCTAAGGGAAGACGAGCCAGAGGACATTAACAACCAGCATGAATAATCAAAACTAGAGGCTGTTAACCCCTCTTTTCATTTACCACCTCCCTCCCTTCAGAGACAGCCATTATTTCAAAACCCCAATAATCCAATTGTCTTACAGCCCTTTATCCCCAAAACAAAAGCCCACTGCTCCAAAAGCCGGTTCTTCTGAAAATACACACTTTCCCTGGAGTATTTTTAATACCTTAGTGTATTTGGACATACAGGAAGATGAAGTCAGTTGACCTTTCTTGTCATGTTAACAATAATAAACACGTGGTTATCGTTAAAATAAATACGTTAGTTATGTCAGTTAAGTTATGAACGTAAGTTGGTGATATCAGAGTGTGTCTTTCCAGAACAGGCGTTCAGAGCAATGGGCTTTGGGTCCAATGGGGCACATTTCGAACTATTGGGGGTTTCAGAATAACAGGCCATCAGAACGATGGCATGGCACCCTTCCCTCACCTTAGCATCCTTGCTGATGGTGCAGCAACGTGAGGCGGAGGTGATGTTGTGGGTGAAGTTGGAGGCCACCAGCACAGAGTATCTGGATGGAAAGGCGCTGGACTCGCAGTAGCCCACGCAGGCGTAGACCAGGTGGGTGCCTTTGCATGTGCCGCGGCGGTCACTGCGGATGCTCACGTTGAAGGCTGGAGATTGACGAGAAGACAGAGGGATGAACGAGGTAGAAGGAAGTGACGTGCAGTATGTGTGCGAAAGTTTGGGATGCAGTTAAATCTATTAAGATGCATCAATATAGACAGCAGACACTTGAGACTGATGTTATTTCTCAATTAGAATGACACTGCCGTTCTCAAGACCAAATTTCCCATAAACCCTGTTACTTCCTGTCAAAAACTGAAAAAATATGCACAGAAATGGATGTTTTGTTGTTTTTGGGGACGCTGTGAGCACATTTTTTATAAACCTGTGTGTGTTACTCACGGTGTAGGTGACACCCTGGGGTGAGGCCATCATAGCTCCAACCAATAGGAGAGAAGAGCAGCAGCAGTGACATCACTGGTAGGACCAGCAGGCAGAAATGTAAGGTCATGCACGGCGACATCTGGATGGCAGCCTGGAGGGTCCAAACACAACACCAAATATGTAAGATGAGAAAATCTTGAAATTTCTAAACATTTACCTGATTGTAAGCGGTTTCTATGCAAAAGAATTCCAACTTCACGAATTCGGTGTAAAATATTTGTATGACATTGTATTACACACACATATATGAAGCTAAGTTGGTCAGTGGGAGAAACACAGTTACACTGAAGTCTATTGATTAATCCATCTGGGGGTCAGATGAAAGATCTGAAACTACCCAACGTAATGTTTATTTTTTGGACTTTTCTCTTCTTTGCTTTTTGTCCTGTGAAATACGATAAAGTCTGACCTCTGTTGAAAAAACTAATAAAAGGAAACAATCTTTAAAAAAGAACAGTCAAAAAGGTGGGAAACCAGTGATCTAATTAAGAACCTAAATAATCTTTTTTTCTGAGCTGAAGAAGCTACAGAAGCCTACACCTTGAACACTGAGCTTTCACTCAACCTGAGGTGATCTCCTCTCTCCTGCTGAACTTTCCCCTTAAGTCAAAGTGTTGCCCAGAGCCCCCGCCGTCATCTACCAAGGTGGTTTCCCATCCTGCACGTCTGCCTGTGTGTCACTCAGCTGAGTAGCAGCTAATGTGAATAAAAACAATACTGCCTTCACCTTTTCAATCTGGCTCATTTAACAGCTACCTGCTGACACACGTATACGTACACAATTTAAGGTCGTGCACACATACATGCAGCAGCAGTCCCATAGTCATATACCATCTATGAATAAAAGTCTGTCTTTAAAATAGAGAATCCTGTGAGCATCTGTGTTTTTCACTTTCAACACGTACACACAGGTATATCGTATGCATGCATGAGTGGGTGTCCATGTACGCACATGCTCATGAACCCCTCACACACACTCCAACACGTGTGTAAACAATAAAGTCATGTTTTCCTGGGAATGTGGTGATCCTGACCCTTGCCCCTCTAAAATGGCAGCTCTTTCCAGCTCCGCTTCCCTCCGACTGGAGCGATGGGAATTGCCGCCGTGGTGAATGTGGAACGGCCCTTGGGACGCCATTAACGCTGCTGGCATGACCAAATTAACAGGTCAGTGCTGTGTGTGTGTGTGTGAGGCCATTAACCCCCGTGTCAGCTGATGGGGCAGGGGAAATGCCCGGCTTTTTCCTCTTATGTGGGGTTTCCACGCCTGAAGGTTTGGTTTGGCTTCTAGGAAAGTAGGTTGTAATACGGTACACGCTGCTGATAGTGGGAGGTCTGGTGAACAAGACCACCAAAACAGACTAAAGAACATATTCCCTGAGAGTTAAGATCCTTAAATTGCTTGCAATAAAATCCTATACGCAACACCTTATCAAAATAATGTTATCAGTACTGCCCTTTAAAATACTTTAACGTGTGAATACAATTTAAAGGAATACATTTAAAGGAACTACGTTTGGACATAATTGTTTTTCTGGAAACACTATGACATTACTACACTTTTGGCAAGTGAGGTGGAAATACTTTAATGTAAATCACCCAAATTATCCACCATTCTCTTAAATTTCACTTACATGGTTGAACAGTTCAGCTGAGACCAGGTGCTGATCCAGACATTAGTAGAGTAGACCATTTTATTTTATATACAAACTATATAATTGCTGATATATATTAGTAGTAGACATCTGGGTCATTACACACAAGTGCCTGAGCTTTCTACTAATTATACTTAATACTGAACAACGCCAGTGAGGTATTATCATTTTTTAAGTAGCATCAATTGCAGGGAAAATACATTCTACCAATACCATATAGGTCTCAATGGAGACACATTTAGTCTCATCTTATGTCCTGTCATATAATGTGTAATTCTCCTTTTTTTATATAATCTATATAGTCAATCAGCTATATAACAACAATGCTTAGTTTTATAAAAATGTGTATTGTCTTGAAAGTAAAAGTCAGCTGAGTAGGGATGAGTTTCAAAATAAAACCCTCCAAATACAGTAAAAACTTAGCTATTTATCTATTTTCTGTAGTAGTAAATGTTATTATGGCCAATTTACTCATTTGTCAAAATGGTAATATTTTTACACATTAACAGCTCAAGTATTAACACATATAAAAGGTCTGCAGAATCAGAATGTAAAGAAATGTGAAATATAAGGAGATATAAAAGGGTTAAAGCTGTATTTCCCCAAATTTACAACTTGTAGAACAGAATTCTCTTCATGTGTAAAAAGACTATAAGTAAGCAACAAAGACTAGATGACAGACTAAATGTCACAGAACAATCCCAGGATTTAAAGGTCTGTTCCACCAACATATAGACCGATGAACTACATTTGATTCCAGTCGTAAAAAGGAGCTCAGTCTTACCTGAAGACGTACAGCAGAGCGCAGCTTCTCAAGTGCAGGGCAGGTGAGTCGGCTGACAGGTGTGTGTGAGTGTGTCTGTTCTGAGCCTCATGCAGGGATATAAGTAACACAGGTAAGAGTGAAGGTACTTATAGCTGTGGACACACCCACAATTAGAGAGTGTGTGAGTGTGTGAATCTTTTTTTTTCTCTATCTCCTTCACTTTTTCCACCTGCAAAAAAAACCCCCAGAGAAATTCTTCCAAAAAATATTAAAATTGACTTCTTTCTGAGACGTCTTTCTCCTGGAGTGTGTTACCATCTCTCTGTCCCTCCGCCCTCCCCCTCCTTGCTCTCTGTTTTAAACCTTTAGGGGGACTGCTGCTGTGACACAGAGGAAAACTAGATAGGTTTTCCATCAACGCACCGCCACAATAGTAAGAACACACACAGCTTCACTCCGCACATGCCTGCACGGAGACGCACACACAGAAAAAGCACACTTAAGCATGCATGTGTGTAAAATCACACAAAAAATAATACTGTAGGCCCTCAGCTGCCAGTTGATACACACAACAAGTGAACTAATAAATACACTGAATGGGAGACCTCACACACACAAAGTTTGCCTGAGTTTTCCATTTGTGGCTGCAGGAGGAAGGGCAGGGTCGGGTCAGAAGATATTGTGGGTTTGGGTCAACTGTGTGTGTGTGTGTGTTGTTATGGCACAGAGGAATAAGATGTATCACGCTTTGCCTACAAAGGATATCTATTTTCTTAAAAGTCAATTGGTTTTCTTAAAACAAAGTGAAACAGTTCACAATAATCCAAACTTTTACAAGAAGCAAAGCAAATCAACTCAAAGTCAAGTTGATTTTTTTCTTGATTCCAGCCATTTCTCACTCGTTTATAATTTTTTTTAAAACAACAAAGCAACTTTATTCTTTAGAAACAGTTTGCAGTGTTCTTGTCGCACTAATAGATGTTTTCACTTATTTGAGAAATAGTTAAATCCTTCATAAAAATGGGAGATTTCTGCTTCGGAGAAATGAGCTTAAAAGGCATCAGTAGGTCTATTGTTACCTGGATGAATTATGTGATACAGTGCTGTTTCTCAAGATTGTTTCTATGGTTTTGTCAGTAGGGCTGATCAAAGGTCATAATGGAGCATCTGCTGTTGTATTTCTGAAGGTACAAAGACATACAATTAAACAATGGGGATTATTTCTGGGATCCAACCAAAGTACAGAAAGTTAAAACAGAAGTGTGAGTTTGAATCATGTGCACTGGTCAACCCCCAAGCTGTGTTTTTTGACTGTGATTTTTTGTTGTGTTTTCTTGAGTTTCCTTGACTTTTTTGATCAATTCCTGGGAAAATACCGTCAAAGACAAAGATATGCAGAGGTCCTTTAGTTTTTACGGACCTGTATCAGCGGCTTACAGACCCACAACAGCAATGGATTCCCAACTCAGCCCAGCTCTCTAGGGAAGGACATGGAAAAACCATCGAAAAACCAAAAACACTTGAAGTAAACACAGAGGGCTGATTCTGATTCTTGCTGTTCAGCAAGTTAAGCCATATGTTCCTTCACCCGAGACCCAGTTTCTTTTGGTATACTTAGAGACCTATACACAGTCCATCTGGGTTGGATCTGGCAGTTTGTGACCTTTGTGACATGTCACTGTATGTCAGATACTGCTGCAGTGAGCTAATGAGTCTATTAAAAGAGTCTTTGCCCGCTGGAGTTTGGCAGAGGTGTTGCTATGCTGATCCTCTGTTCAAGACAAGGGATGGACGAGAATGCAGAGCCAGCCGTTCCCCACAAGTATACCATCATGTGGCCACACACACACACACACACACACACGAC